TGGATGGCGGGCGCGGTGTCTCCCGCGCCTCCGCCTCCACTTGAGCTGGCGCTGCCGCCGCTCGGGGCGGCCGCTGAGCTCGCCGTTGACAGCTGCGCGGCGTCGGCCCGCGCCCGGGCGACGCTGCTCGGCGCGGCGGACAGCGCGCTCGACGCTGCTGAGCCCGTCGCAGGCGCATGCAGCTGAACCGAGTGCAACGCGCCCTTCAAGTCGATCGTCTTGCTGGCTGCGCTGTTCACTCTCGTAGTCTTATCAGGGCAGCCTCTCATCAAGTGGCCCTTCTGATGGCACTTCCTAAACGTCCGTGTCTCGACGCGCTGGCCATCGTTGCCATCTCTGCCCTTGCCGTCCTCCTGCGTCTGGTGCTGAGATCGGGAGTCCCTGTTTCCGTCGCAGAGCTTCCCGTATCCCTTATTGCCGCCCTTGTCCTTGTCCTTCTTGGTGGCGATTACGACCGTCGCCACCTCGGTTGGCGCCATCCTTCCTGCTGCCAACGTCGCCGTCAGGGACCCGATGTCCATGGGAGCTGGCCCGCTGCCGTCCGCCGCGGTGGCCCCCGCTGCGGTGCCTCCTGCAGCGTCCTTGAACGTCTTCCTGCTCGTCAGGCACGTCTTCGCGTGCTTCGCGGTCCCGTCGTAGGTAGTCCCTGAGGCGGTCGGCTTTGACCATCAGCTGTTGCTGAAAATCCCAATCCTGGATCCCGCTATGAGGATCGCCGCCGCGATGTCGCTGGGCACCGCGCTGCCGTGCCGCTCGTGCGTCTGGACCGCCACGTCAAACTCGTTCATGTCGGTCTTGATCGTCGCTGCTCCGACCGTCCGCCTCAGCAGCGTCCTCATCCGACCCGGAGCTGACGTTGGCTGGCCGGGCTCGAACTCCCCCACGAGCTTGCGCCACACCAGCAGTCCTTCGCCCTCCGGGATCGGCCGCTGCATGGCGAACGCCTTGCCTTCCAGGAGCAGCGCGAGCATGTGGCACAGCTGCCGCGACGCGCCGACGAGCGCTGGATTTGTCAGGTCCAACGTCTCGTTGGTGACGTCCTCTTCGGCCTCTTGCCCGACCGTGATCATCTCTTGGTACAGCTCGTCGTCCAGCGTCGCGATGCACGCCGCCAGCTTGATCGACCGCGCGGGCCACGCTGCCTCGCTGCCCTTGAACTGGGCTGGTTTCGTCAGCAGCTTCGCGTCGATGATGCCCCACTTCCGACGACCCTCGCTCCTCGCCGGCGCTGGGCTCGCCGCCGCGGTGCTCCCCGCGGCGGTCAGCTGCTGGAGCGCCTGCTGAAGCTGCTGAAGCTGAGCATGCTGCTGTCTGGCTGTCGTCTCTGCTCGCGCCTCCAGCTCCAGGGCTCGCTTCTCGGCAGCTTCCGCTCGAGCTGCAGCCGTCCGCAGTGCGTCCATCACCTGCTGGGCCGTCGGCTGCTGCTGTGGCAAGGCTCATGCTGCAGCCGCTGCCGCGGTGCGGGGTCGCCCGCTGCCTGCTGCGCCGCGGATGCTCGCAGCCCCTCTTCCATCTCTGAACCTCCGCGCTTCGAAGGCCGCGTAGGCTTCGCTCTCGCGGGGTATGAAGGAGTGACCGTCCTCGTCCACGACGCCGAGCGGCCAAGCGTGACCCAGCTCCTTGTCGAAGACGACGTCCCCGAACACGCGGTGCGTGAACGTTGGCAGGTCGATCTCGTGACCGACGATCTTCTCGACAAGGGTTCAGCGCCGACTCCAGCAGCCTGCAAACGTCTCCACGCCGCTGCCGTCGCCAGGCAGCGTCCTCCGATCGCCGCCGCCCTCGCTGCTTCTTCGGTTTCTTGCGCCCCGTCGCTGTGGTGCCCGCCAAGGTTGAACCTCGGCCTGCAAAGGGTTTGGGGGCTGCCCTCCGCTGCCCCGCGGGTGCTCCCCGCAGGGCGCTAGGACGCCCTCTGCAGCCCGCGGTGTTCCCCGCTGGGCCGCTGGGCTGGGCGGCTGCCCTCCGCAGCCCGCGGCGTTCCCCGCTGGGCTGCTAAGCTGGCACTTCCGACGCAGAACCCGTGGATCCTCAGGCCACGGGCTCCGCTACCATGCGCGGCGCCCCTTGCGGAGCCGCGATCCTTTTTGAACCAAGAGGGATGCGTCACAGCGCCCCCCAACAACCCTATAACTATGTTCGTCGCTCTGGCACAGAATCATATGCAAACTGCAACACGAAAAAAAAACCATTAATTCCGGCGGGGGGGGGTCGATCCGACGACCCACTCTGAAAAAATGATAATATATGGTGTGCGATAAATGTTGTGCAATTTATGTGGAACAATAGACGCGGTGGAGACTACGCATACAGTGCAAGATCTATGGTGCAAGGTGTGTGGTGCGATCTTTGTTGTGCGATCCATGTTGTGAGATCCATGTTGTGCAGTCAGTGTTGTGCAATCGATGTCGTGCAATACGCGTGGTGCCATCTAGGCGGTACATTCTATCAGATGCACCCTGTGCGGCGCAATCTATGCGGTGCACCTAAGACGGTGCAATTCACGCGAGGCGGCGACGGAGCGGCGACGGGCGACAACGCAGCCGCCAGACCGACACCAAGGCCCAGATGACGGGCGGCGACGAAGCGGCGACTACTGGCCCGTCTGGCAAAGACAACGGGCGGCGAAGAGGCGGCGACGAGGCGGCGACGGCGACTAAATAGCCGACAGACCGGCCGTCAGGCCGAGACGACGGGCGGCGACGGGGCGGCGACGGTGACTACATAGCCGGTCGAAGGATCGTCACGCCCAATCCATCAGAACAGTAGCAAGAATCCCTAAGTGCAAGCACCGGTTGGGGAACGAATTCCGGAATCCTCCGTACTTGTCCATATGTCCAGGGTGTTCCTCTCCCCCTCAATTTCCCCATAGTTTTGTGTATATATATATACTCACTGAATACAGCGTTTATTTTTGTTCATTCCCTTCTGGGGGACCAGCCAAACAGCGTTTTGCTAGGTATCGACAGCGCTAAGGATCGCAATCGCGGGTGTCGGTACCTCGGCGTGGCGCTCCGTGCGCGGGGTGCGGAGGCGAATGGAGAAGACCCCCCCTCGCTCGCCGCCGAGAGGAAGAGGAGCAGCAGCAGCAGCAGCAGGATGAGCAGGATAACTTAAACAACAAGGATGCCGGAGATACGACCGATCAGACGAGCGCAAGCATGAGCGGGCGCGGGCAAAGAGCAGACCAGCGGATATAAGCAAGGCCAGGGAGCAAGCGGCGGAGGGAGGAGGGAGGGAGGGCGGCCGCGGCAAGCCGACTCTCACCCCGAACGAACTGTGGAGCCGCCGTGCCCCCCACGCGTGGCCGCTCTGCCGCTGGCAGTGACCCCCCCCCGCCAAATGGGGGGCCCTCGCGGCGTGCCGACCACCTCTCGCGGAGAAGAGGAGCTGGCGACACGCAGGAGGGCGCCCTCTGGGCAGGAGGGGCCCGCGGTGCGCAGGCTTCGGGGGCCACTGGGGAGGCCACACCCGCGCACAGCAGGCCGCTGCGGTCGCGCCGCAGTCTTCGATCGGGGGGGGGGGGGGGGGGGGCGCCCAGCGTGGCCGCACCGAGCCCCGAGCGCGCAGGCCGCTGCGGTCGCACCGCAGTCTGCAATCGGGGGGGGGGTCCCAGCGTGGCCGCACCGAGGGTCACTCCTGGGAAAGGTCGGTCTGACGTGCAGCCATCGGTGGGAGGGAAAGAGGTAGAGACATGAAGGAGGAAGGCGCCGAAGGCAGACTGCGCTCCGTCCGCCCCTAGCCACTCGATCCCTTGAAGTAGGGAGGCGCTCAAAGCAGATTGGGATCTGGGAGTCCCCCAACAAAAACCTGCTTTCGACGACCGATGGGTAGCCGCAAAGTGGGGGAGGGAGCGCACCCTGGCCTGAGGCGCGTGTGCGGACGAAGTTAAAGGGGCCCCAGGACGCACAAATAAATACACACAAATGGACATATTCCCCATATTTTTCCATATTTTCTGGGTTTTTGTCTTCCCCCCCACTTCCCATATTTTCCTATATTTTCTGGGGGATCAACGCTTAATTGTGTCTGTGTGTTTTTTTCCCTCCTGAGAGGTGGGGGGGCCAGGGGAGGCCGCGCGCGCGGCAGCCTGAGGCCCAACCTGCGCCGGATCCGCGTCGCACTTCGTAGGCCGGGCTCGCGCAGGGTCGAGTCGAACTCGCGGCGGCTTCACGTCGGAGTCGCGCCGGACGTGCGGTGGAGGCCGGTCCGCAAAAGACCTTCCAGAAGAAACCCAACCCCGAGAGCCCAGGACGTCCGCTGATCTGTGGCGTGGGAACGGCGCGCTTCCTGCAGCAGGACCAGGGACACCCAAGAGACCCAGGGCACCCTGGAGGCATGCAGGGTGTTTCTTGGCATGGGTCTCCACTGCTTGAGCAGGCACCGACCGTCCCGGCATTCCTATAGACCACGAAATGTTCTTAGAAGCCAAACATGTTCTAAGAGCAAAAACAATGTTCTTAGAACATAAACCCGATGCGTTAAAACAAGACCATATCAACCAGAAATGTTCTAAGAACATTCCGTGGAAACCACAAAAGGTTCTTAGAATATTGTTTGGTAGGGCTATAGGCACGCTGGGACGCTTCGCCACTGCTTGAACTGTAGGATGGAGTCGGAATTGCGCCGGCCCAGGTCAGGGCGGGCCTGACGCAACTGTTGCGCGCCGCGCGAGTCCTCCAGGAGTTTCCTCACGGGGGATGTGCTGGAGGAGGAAGAAGAAGAAGATGCGGGGGCAATGACATCTGGGAGGTTCCGTGGCCCCCCTGTGACAGAACTCGATCTCCGCCACCTGCAGGGCCTAAACTGGACCGAATCGTAGAATCGGATCGGAGCGGATAGTCTGGAGTCTAGGGTCGCGCATCGGAGCTCGGCCCCTGCATTTCAGAGAGGAATCCAGCTCGTGTCGGATCGGATCGGACCGAGACCTGAATCGAGGTCCAGGGATCGAATCGGACCGTGGGCAGCCATGGCCGAACAGAAGAGAGGCGTGCCAGCGGGTCCTCAGAGAGGCTGGCTTCCAGGTCTGGCCAAGTATGAAAAGAAAGATCACGTAGTCTGTACTGCGAGGAGAACATGTCCTCGTCGATATCAGTCAGGGACAAGCGCTCTGACCAATAACGGGGAGAGTCCAGGACCAGAGGATCGCACCTCTGCCCATGTTCTCGGAACTCGTTGCAGAACACGCGCTTGTCCAAGTCAAGGTAAACCAACTCAAAGTCCTGTGCAAAAATATGATTTGTTTCCCTCGCCCTCGCTACCAAACTACAGCTGCCTCACGATTCCCGTCAATGTGAAACTTGCGCACATGCCAAGACCAATAGCTGACCGCATGGGGCCACAATATCGGTGTGCGAACACTCGCAATCATGTGCTCCAAACATACGTGCCCAGCGGGTCCTCGCTCGGCCAATTCTGCATCCACACCTCGATGTGGTCCGTCACAAACTCTGGCACCGAAGAATTATAAAGCTTAACGCCGCTTGTTCTCTGCCCCAAGCTCCGCCTCCGACGCCTACGCCTCCGCCTCCGCCTGCGCCTCCTCCTCCTCCTCCTCCTCCTCCTCCTCCTCCTCCTCCCAGCAGCGGCCATCACCGAATCGACTAATCATATTGGATCAACACAGATATCGAACTGGGCCGCATCGGCATCGTGTCAGAATCGAATCGAATCGGCCGCGCCAGGGTGCACAACAGCGCCATGCAAGCATCAAGACGCATCAAATCGCCGAAATATTAAAATCGGATCGGAGCGGGCCAGCCGAAATCGATGTCAAATCGGTTCGATCAGATCGAAATGGGCGCTACCTCCCCACAAGACCTTCGGAGTTATGCGCGCTTAACATATGTTTTGCAAGAGGCCGAGGGGGGCATCGACGCCAGCCCGGCTGGGGCGGCGCGAATTCATCTTTAGGATGGGCGGCGGGGCAGAATCAGGTGAACATTGCGAGTCGACAAAGGGGGCAGATGAAGGGGAGGGGGGTCCCAACTTGTGGCAAAGAGGGATCTATTTCGCGCGTTCGATTTTGCACGGCCTACGCGGCGCTGTCCACGTGGCGGAGCACGCGCAGTGCAACCTATCCTGGTCAATATATTTGGAGCAATATACGCGTTTCAAAAAAGGGGGTGCTAACTGCGTGGCGCAATCTATCGGGCGCGACCGACGCTGCGAAGCTCACGCGGCGCAGCCGGCGCGGTGCGATCATCGTCGCGCAGTCTGCGCGGCGCAATTCATTCTTGCCCGCGGTGAGTCGCCAACTCCACGGCTCGCGCAATCGCCCCGCCCGCCGGCCCGCAAATCCATTCCGCGGTAATTGCGATGACTGCTTGGCGCTGGCCAGCGCACCGCGGCGGCCGCGCGTCGGCGCGCGCGGGCCCGCGGGCAGAGCGACCGGCCTCCGGCGTGACCCGACGCGGCCGCGGTGGCGCGGACCGTCGGGCGCGCCCCTGCGCGTCTCGCAGGCCGCGCTGACGCGCGGGCGCTTCAGTGTGAGTCGGCGACCCTGGGGGGCGCGGCATCTGGCGACGTCGACAGCGGCATGCGCGACGATGATCGCAGCGGCGCCGGCGACGACGACGGCGAGGGCGACGGCAACGCCTGCGACGGCGCCGACGCTGATCGCGCTGACGGCCACGATGGCGCCCGCGCGTCGGCGGCGACAGTCTCGGGGGGATATCGACGCGCGCGCGGCCGCCGCGCGCGAATGGCTCACGCGGCGCCGTTTGACAGGGGCCGCGCCCTCCCCGCTGGGGCTGTCGAGTGATTTCGACATGCGCGCGCGAGAGGCCCGCGCAGTCGCACTTGGAAATGTTGCGCGACTTATGGTTTTCGGCCACACGCATTTGTTCCCGGGCAGCACATTGTTGCAGCGGCGCGCGTTCTTAAGAGTTCTGGGGCGCTCGAGTCAGATGCCCGTGCGAAACGTGACGCATGGATCTCGGCACGCGCGCGCGCGACGACGCGCGCGCCCGTTGCCGCGGGGCTGGCCCAGGAAAATTGCGGCGCCCCGCGCGATGCCCGAAGTGCGTTCGAAACGGTGCTCCCAAGTTCATGGTTCGTGCGCGCGTTCGCGCGGTGTGAGTCGCCGGGCCCATGGCCCCGCGGCCCCCGTCGATGCCCCCACGCGGGTCTTGGCGACGCGGGGCCGCGGCGGCGCCGCGCCGTCGCGAACCGCCGCAGCGCTGCGTCGACTCGGGATCTTGGCAGCCCATCTCTCGAACGCCTGGGCGCGCGCCTGGACTGGGCCCTCTGCGCGCTCAGAGCGGAGCCCGTGCGGCGCCCGGAATGATCGCCTGCATCTAACGGCCGCGCGCACAAACGCGCGCCCCGCGAGAAATCAGTCGCGCCCCGGGGGAAAAACCCAGCGCCCGCAGACGCGTCGCGCATGGGGGCGGGCAAACGGCGCGGAAGATCCCCGGACCAAATCTGGGCGCAACGCAACTCCACGCGCCTGTTTGGGCATTCGGCGCCACGTTGGGGGCGGCCCCTGAAAATTGGGCGCCGCGGAACCGGCGCCTTCGGGCGCGGGGCCCCCGAGATGGACCGACGGCGGTCGCGTCGGGGAGCGCGCCCGAAGACCCGATCGGGCGCGGGCGCCAGACCCCGGGCCCAGCGATGCGAATCCTCGCGCCCGCGACGCAGGCCTCCCGGGCCAACGACGCGAGTCCGCGGGGGCAGCGTCGCGGGCTCCCCAGGGTCGCGACGGAGGCCCCGTAGGCAGCGATGCACTTTAGCGCTGCTGCTTCCCAATATCACAGCTGCGCGCGGTGTCCAAAGCGCAAGGGCGCGAGCTGCGCGCCAACAACATCCCCTCGCGCGCGCACTCGGCGCGCGACGCGGCCAAGGGGGCGACGGGGCAGAGACGCGACTGCGGGGCGCGCCGGCTCGGGGTCTGGGGCCCGACCTACCGTGGCGCGCGCGCCTCGCTCCATCGGTGGCACGGTGCCCTTTGGAATTTGACATTTGTGATGAACGGGCGCGCGCGTGCAGCGTCGGCTACGTGGGACGGCGCGGAGGTGGTCGCGGCGCGCGCGTTTTCGGGGATCGAGCCAGGCCTGGCTGGAGCGTTGTAAACTCATGCGTAAACAGCAGATCTCCAGGAAGGACAAATAGCCCATGCGGGTGAGGGGCAGAACCTGATTCCTCAATAGAAAGGAGGACCCGCGCGATACAAAATAAGCGGTGCGCTCTACGTGGCGAAACCGATGCGGGGCAATCTGCGCGGTGCAATTCGGCCTGCCGACCAGAATTGCCACTTCCACTGCTCGCGCGATCGCCCCATCCGCCCACTCGCAGTTTGGTATGCAGAACCAGCGCGACGACGACTTCGATGACTGCTCGGCGCTGGGTAGCGCATCGCTGCGGCCGCGCTGGCGCGCGCGGACTCGCGGGAGGGCAGCCAACTACTATGGCGCGACCGACGCGGCCGCGATGGCGACATCCGCTGGGCACTTCCCCGCGCGTCTCTCAAGCCGCGCTGGCGCGCGGGCGCTTCAGTGCGAGTCGGTGGCTCGGGCGGGCCTGGCCTTGTGGGGGCGTCGACGGCGGCGGTCGCGATGATGATTGTAGCGATCCTGGTGTCGAAACTGACATTGGCGACGACAAGACCACTGACTGCGCCGATGCGGATCACGCCGACGACGATGATGACGTCCACGTGTCGGTCACTGGCGCGTTGGAAGAATTTCGCCATGCGCGCGCGGCCGACGCGCGCAAGTCGCCTGCATGGTAGCACTTGACAAGGACTGTGCCACCACCCCCGCGCGCAAGGGCGTTCGTCGAATGATTTCGACATGCCCGCGCGAGGGGCCCGTTTGGTTGCACTGGATTTGCAGGTTGAAAACCGATGGTTCCCATAAGTATTCGCAAAAACGCTGGGCATATGCATTTGAAGAACCATGCTGCAACACAATGTGTGTTTCGAGGGTTTCGGGACACTCCATTGAACATTCACTACGGAAGCCCAAGTATTTGAAGGATTTCGGTAAGCGCGCGACGACACGCGCGTGTGCACTTCGTCCCAGATGCTGTGATGGGGTTCTTGGGAATGTACGATTTTTCTGATTTACGCATACGGGCGCATCGTCTTATTTGATGAGGATGTGAAAAGGGGGGTCGAATCCAGCTCGGCGGGGCAGAATCATACGTAAATTGCGGATCCCCAAGGTGGGCGGATAACCCCGGGGGGTGGGTGGTAGATCCAAATTCCAAATTCCATTTTACACCGGAGACTCTATGCGTGGCGGCGACTGGGCGGCGATGGCGACACAGCCGCCAAACCGCCCATCATGCATAGTAGACGACGGATGGCGACGAGGCGGCGACGGGGCGACGACGGCGACAACATCTTTGCCAGACCGAATGCCAAGCCCGAGCGACAGGCGGCAACGAGCGGCGACGGCGACAATATAGCCGCCAGACCGACCGTCAGATCCAGACGACGGGCGGCGACGAGGAGGCGGCGACGGCGACAGCATGGCCGCCATACCGACCGTCGGGCCCAGGCGACGGGCGGCGACGAGGCGGCGACGGCGACAACATCCTCGCCAGACCGACCGCAGAGCACACGCTATCGTCATTGAACCAAGTCGTGTCGGTCCTTCTGCGTGGTGCTGCCGACGCAGCGGGCCTCATTTTAGGATCGGCGCTCTGCCCCCTCCTCCGCCTTCCCCTGGTCCTCCTCTTCCTCTCGCGCGTTCCACTCCAGATCCCGCTGCTGTCCGCGTCTTCCTCCTTCATCCTCACCCGTGTCCACCTGCTTATCCTCCTGCTCATCCGCCACCCCCTCCGGCGTACGTAGCTCAATCTTCTCCGATCGCGCGAAACACGATGGAATCATTCCAGGTCCGCTACGACACGCGTCAGCGGACAGAAAAAACATCAGCGCAGTGTGAAGAGATGGGTGGGGTGGATACGATGTCAGAGCTTACCTAGCTTGCCCCGCCCCCCCTCCCCTCCTGCTGCTGTCATTTTTCCTCCTCCCCTCGATGTTGCGCTCCTGCTGGTGATGTTCCACCTCCTTATACCAGACAGCCAGCGGTTCGATGTTTTTTGGACATGGGCACCTGGGCCTTTCGACACCGTCCCGGGGGATGGTTTTTTTGAGTCATTTGGCCCGAAGCTGGCCTCTGGAGACATAACATGAAATCAACTCATCAAAACTGGCAATCTCACTGTTGCAGGACGGCAGATGCCGGGGACCTCCTGTACAGGAGCAGAAACGGCACAAACAGAAACTTTCGGAACTCCGCGCGGAGTCCTTAGCTCTGCGTTGGACCCCCCCGGCGGCGCCTCTGGCGCCGCCCCTGCCGCGCTGCCCGCGCCAGTGATGGGGGCAGCACCGACCCAGGAACTCTGAGCGGACCTCCCAAAATTTATGACCGTGCCGCTTCCGGTCCCTCGCTCCCTGGGGCCAGGGGCCACGGAGCGGGGACTTACGGAGGGTTGGGCTCCACGTGCTGGCGGGTGCCAGC